CTTTTCACGGAGCCCCCCAGTGGCAGTGGCAGCAGCAAACAGGGCCTGTGGGTGTGTTCCCCTGGGCCCTGGGCACCGTGGTGTTGTCTGAGGGGCCATCTCTGAGCCAAGGGATGCGGATCCAGGCCTGGGGGGCTACAGAGAGAAGCAGATGGGAAAGTGTGTGACCCTGGGCTCCCGGCCAGTCCGTGCCCTGAGATAAAAAGTCAGACCCTGCCCTGGGTGCTCCCAGCCCAGGGCGGGGCCGGAGGAGCCACGGGCACTATCACTTGGTGTGGGCAGTGCCAAGGTCCAGCGAGGTGAGGGGCGGGGTAGGTGGGAGGACCCCGAGGAGAGGGAGGCAGCTGAGGGCTGGGGTCGCCACTGGCTGGAGGAGTTGCTGCTCTGGGTCCACCTGGCATTGGGTGGGGGAACCACTCTGATTGGCGTTTCCTGCCAGGTTTTATTGGAACCTGGGGTTCCAGGGCTCCAAGAGTTTGAAGACCTCCACTGGGGGTGATGGGGACCCTAACTGGGGGGCTGACCCCGTGTCGGGTGTGGCATTAGTGTGCCTGCTGAAGGACGGAAGGAGTCAAGAGATGGACCTGGGCGCTGGCAGCAGGTGGCTGCCCGGGAGGAAGGTTGAGTGTGTGGAGGGGCCCTGACAGGAGGGAGTGATGGGGTGGGACCCCAGGGCCTGTTTGTGAGGCAGCTGGACATCTGCTGGGTGGAAGGCCCTTGGGGGAGGGATCTGGCTGGAGGCACAGAGGTAGGTGGGTGTTGCCCTGCGGTGGTGATGCCAGGAAGGGTCTGGGGAGAGGTCTGGGTGTGGTTAGGACTGAGATGAGATCTAAGAGGACCGAGGTGACACTGGTGGCCATGCCACAGCAGTTTGGCTGGAGGGAGACCTTCGGACAGCAAACACAGATGCCCCTCCCAAGGCCTGCGCTGTGTCGGAGCGTGAATGTGTCTGTGGGTGTGATAGGGTGGCTGTGACTAAGTGTGGGGGTGGGAGGGGATGCAGTTAATGTCTTTTCAGCTGGGCAGGGAGTCAGTGGAGGAGCCGGCAGGAGGGACGCTGGGACGGGGCGGGTGTGGCCTGACACCGAGAAGAGAAGGGACCCTGTTCGGGAGACTGTGCTTTGTCGATGTGAGGAACGTCCAAACCTGGAGAGCGTTTTCGAGTTTATTTGAGCCAAACTGACGTCAATCGCAGGGAAACAAAATCTCAAAGGATTGAGAAAACGCTCTGGAGTGAGTTTTACAGCTTGTTTTATACGTTAGAACCACAGAATCACGGGAGGAGACGTGGGGGGTGGGGGGGGCGTTGGGGAACATGAAATCCGGGCGGGAGGAAGCAAAGGGGCAGCCTGTGTGGTTGGATAGCGTCAAACGGAAGGACACAAACTTGCGTCAAACGGAGAGACACGTACTTGTACGCTGGTGTGCAGGGCAGTGAAGTGACATTCAGAGCACAAGGAGCGGGTGTCCTTGTCCTGCTCTGGGTGTGCCCTGAGGGGACTGTACAGGATATTCTCTGGCCTCTCAAAGGTATGTTATCTGAAACGCAGGGTGACCTTTGTCACTGGGAGCTACGGGCGGAAGCGCAGGCGGTGACGCCCATGACCCGGTTTAGCTGGGAGTCTAGGATCTGGCCATCCTGGGCGTCTCTCCATCTCGGAGCTTGTCCGCCGCCATGCAGGCCTCTCCTGAGCTTGTCAGGGTTGGTGTGTGGCCTCTTTTTCCTCCACAGCTTCCTCGCCCCCAGAAAGGGCCGGCCGACTCTAGGAGGGGCGAGGGGGCCGTGGATGGGGCCTGTGGCCAGGTCCAGGATGGAGGGAGCCAACATGGGTGGATGTGGCGGGGGCACTTAGACGGTGGAGGGTCGGGGTGCAAGTGAGTGAACTGTGGTCATGGAGATGCTCACCTATGGGATCCTGGCCGCCGAGGGTGGGAGGTGTGTGGTGGGGACGGTGGGGGCGGGGCACGCGTCCCCCACACCCCAGCAGGCCTGGAGCTGAGGGCCTGACATCTGGGCAGGGCAGGGGCTGGGGAAGGTCCCCTCTGGGGACGACGGGGAGCCTCTGACCACGCCCAGCCCCGCCGTGACATCATGGGCCTCGAGTTCCAGGGGCGGCCGCTGGGGGGCGCTCCAGGCTCGCGGGCGGACCGGCCGGGAGTCCTGAGACTGTTCACTGACCCTCATTTACATGAGCTCATTTGCATGCTCCGCCGTCCGGACCCGAGCTGGGGGCGCGAGTGGGTTGAGGTGCTGCTGGCTATTCCCAGGCGACGTGGGCCCGTCGTGGCCACCTCCACCCTCTGAATCGGACTCAGGCCACTTCCCACCTTATGTGTCTGTACTTGAGGGTCCCACACACACGGCCAGGGTGGGGCAGCTGGACAGACACGCACAGGCCCACAGTGACCCCAGACTGCAGCCAGAATAGGGCCCCTCGTGCAGGCCCGAGCCCCCGAGCCGCCCCGCGAGGACTCAGACCTCGCACACGGCACCGCCCA